ACATGGGAAAATAAAAATGTTTCATTTTAAAGCTATTTCTTAATTATAATTCTAATAGATTTGAAAAATTCCCAAATCCCCAAATTAAAAATTTTTTTTTTATACAAACTGATCTTGAAATCACCAAACTGGTAAGTCGTTAAATTTAGCACTACATAATAAAAGAAATCTTATCTCTAAAAAGAAAATTTTTTTTGATGTAATAAAACTCTTCATTCTCAGGTAAAAAAAAAAAAAAAAAAAAAAAAAAAAAACCTGAAATGTTAATTTTTCAATAGAAGCAGAGTCTCATGCTCATAAATTTGGGAACCACACTGCTAATATTAAGAAGTTGGAAAGATTTCAAATCATAACCCATCAAGTATATATTTTCAATGAATCACCAAAAATATTCCTAAAAAATGTTAGTTAACACTCAAAATGGCAATCGTAAAAGAATAGACAGAAATAGCAGATGCGTAAAATTAAGGACCTTCTGCCGATTTTGGCCAAAATTAAGGACCGTCCAAGAGCCAAATAGCATTAAAAAAAAAAAAAAAAAAAAAAAAAAAAAAAAATGTTTCAGATTTTAAATTACGTCCAAAGCGGCTTTTTTTAATGTTTTGTGTGTTACCTTTATTTATTAAATATCACGTTCTTTGCACTTAAACCATAAAATTTAGTTTCATGCCAATGTCACAAAATAATTTTAAAATGAGCATATCTTTAGAATTTCCGATACACAGTTTGAAGTGCTGGAGATAAAAAGGTTTTTTTCTCTCGTAGAGAGGTGCCATTGCTCGCTTTTAAATTGTTGAGTTTGTTACTCAAAAATTCATTAAAATTTTGCAAAATATAAAAACAAATACCAAATTTGGGCTTCCACCTGCCTATATTCACAGTAGGATTATGCCATTCAAAATTCGATGGCTCTATGTACCGTTGTTTTGTCACAATGCGAGAAATATAAATACATTTATGCAGATTTTTCATTATTTAATTTTTTCAAATATAATGCAGGACTCTAACATTTTGTGGCAACAGTTTTAAAAGTGAACTGACATTTATAAGAGTCCGACACAAAATGCCAAAATGAAAGTAATAGTCCTTCAGGACTCGCATCTCTTTGGACTAAACACAAAAAACCAAAGGACATTTAACGGCCATATGAACCCTGAAAGCAGGCACAGGGCAGGGTTTTTGGTATGATAGCAAGAAAAATTTTCTTTTTCGATATTAACAAAAACATAAATATAATTTCAAAAAGTAAATTTTTATTTTTCAGCTGAGTTGCATTTCCTTGTAACATAATGCTAGTTCACTTACAGCATATTACAGTTTATGCATGCAGCATTATATATATGTTCCATTTTTTGATACAATAATATTCAATTTAAATCATTTTCAAAAGCTTTTTTTCACATACTTTACAAAAGTATGGTCAACTGGGTGTCATCGTCAAAGTGCCGAATAATGTAAATTTCAGTTCTAAAATTTGAAATTGCTACAGAAATTTTGGAACTTTTTCACTCCAAGCTCAAATACCTACATTCAAGCATCCTTTTCTATGGATAAACATCAAAAGTAAGAAAAATAGATTAAAATAATTAACATTTGGCAGCTATGTGGAAACAATGCCTAACACGGAGATGTATAAAATACTCGTACATATCGGCCCTCAGAATTCAGGATTTCACTACAGATATTTTCTAAGCCTCAATTTTGTGTTCTTAGGGTCCACAAGTTACAACTTACACAAAATTTCACCGCAGTCTAAATTCTTTTACTGCCCCTGAAGGAATTAAATGGTTAGCCTTGATAACTGATTATTAATTTTTAAAAATTGTTGCTGTAAAATGACAAATATGGCACATATCACACATGCATTTGTTTCATACAAACAACTGTTTTGGACTATTTTTCTGCCTGGCTTACTACCGAAAGAAAGATGCGTGATTTTTTCCCCTTTCTTTATAAAAAATTTGCACGTTGTTTGTTTTCAACCAATCAGCTATCAGCTTTCTTGTAAAGGAGAACCAGTTTCCTCTTTAGATGTTAAGTGATCTGTGGTGATTGGCTGTTGGAACAAAGCAGAAAAATTGTTCCAAACAGTTGATCTTCCAAAACAAACGGATGCGTGATAGCAGACTATGGGGGGGGGGTTAAATTAAAGAAAAAGGTTTAATAGATTTTGCATACAAGATTAGGAGGCAGAGCAAAATCAGAAATTTCAAAGGTTACAACAATTTCTAATTTATTTTTACGAAACGAAGTGCGTAAAAACATTGTTATATTTAATGCATTTGTTTCTGAATTGGACTGCGAGTTATAACCATTGTTAATTTCTTGAAAATTAAATTTTAAATGTGAAATATTTAAAAATCAAAACAACAAAAAATTAAGTTCAGAGCAAATAATATTTTGGCATTTACCAAAGCATGCCAACTTTTTTAATGTAATTTATAAACCATCAGACATTTTTGTGCAATTTTGAAGATCGATAGTCACAAAATATCCATGCCACTGACGATGTTGAAAAGCTTAACAGTTCAACAATACAAAGACCGTAATCCAGACTTGTCGGGACTTCGGCGATTCTGGATTAAGGGTTTTTCCGGATTATAGATCATCAATTTAAATCTGGTAAGTTGGCATGCAAAAATTATACAATTAAAAATATGAAACTGTAATTTATGAAATAAAGTGCAATTATGATCTAAAGGGTATCAAAATTTACAAAAAAAAAAAAAAAAAAAAAAAAAAAAAAAAAAAAAAAAAAAAAAAAAAGAGCTTAATATTTGTTTACTTTATTAAACATTTTTTCAATGTAAGTTATAAGTTGCTTCGTTTTTTGTGCTAAACGCGCATGCAAAAAAAAAAGTTTGCAGCTTTGAGGTCCGGATTATAGATCATTCTGGATAATGGACGTCCAGATTACAGACTTTGTACTGTAATATGATTCAAAAAGCATGAACAGACTTCTTTTAACTTTAAAATACACTGCATGAACATTTAGCATTTTAACAAGCACATATGAGAGAATGTTAGGTAAATAAATACACATTAAAAAAATCATTTCATAATGTGTAAAAGATCACAGAGTTTCACTTACCAGATTTTTTTTAACTGGACATGACAACAGAGAAAAGAATTATCTCAAAGTTGGAGCTCTCTGAACGAACAGACACAATTTTCTTTCATTCACATGCACTGTATGGCAAAGAGATTGATTTCTTGTTCTTCACAAGAACATGCAAGTCAAGCTCTGTGGACACTGTAGGTTACTTGGAAACTTACTTTACCTTTCTGAAAGACAATCAGATAGGTGCTGTGAAAACTGGCTTTATGTCAGCTGCCCAAATGCCACTCACGCACCACATAATTTACTAAGAAAGTGATCCACTTCCAACTTTGGAGCAAAAATCGCCTTTTGAGGATCGCCATATGAAATTCCCCAACTTTTCGAGATTTTGATTAAAATACTTAAATTTCCTGACTTTTTCATAACCTTTTTTGAAAAATTTCGAATTCCCCAACATTTCCCGTTTCTCTCGGTAACTTGCCAACCCTGTACATAAGTGTTACAAAGCAAACATGTACTGAAAAATGTGAAATTAAGCAACAGAACTGTAATACAATCAAATACCCAAGAGTTACTGCTTTTATACTAAGTTAGAATCTATAAGCCTTCTGAATGAAAACGTTTTCCCGAAATTTTATTTACAGCTAATCCATATTGTTAATTACTTCACTTTGTAAGAAATGAGTTGGCCGTTCTCTGTTCTTCCAGAGACAAAATACAAACTTGCACATAAATAATAATGTATAACATGAAAACTAGCAACATATGTAAAATGCGATTCACTATTTTTAGAAAAACCAGCACAAACAGTAACAGCATGATGACATTTTCCAAGACTACAGTGAAGTAATAACTTTGACCAATATAACTGATATTTGGGTTTATATTAAAGCAGACTACCTGCAAAATCCTTATACCTTGATTTTATAATTAAAAAAATATCTTTATAAACATCAGATTTCAAAACAGATGAAATAAAAATTTTTATTAGGTTTATTTTATTAGTTTTCATGTTAGAAAGTATTTAAGAAAATTCGAGTGAAAAACATAAACGAATGTGAGCTCTCTATGAAAACTCAAGACATCTTCCACTGCTAGTCATTCTGTTCCAGAAGTTATTTAACAATATTTTCAAATAAACACTAACATAATCAAAAGCAAAAGAAACTAGCCAGCTCAAAGTGATATAGAGTAGAAGTGTAAAAAGACTTAAGTTTAAAAATTCTCTTCATATTGCATATATGCTCTGCCAAGGTGATAAAAGCTTCCTTAAAAAATACACACCAAAGAGAACGTTTTCCTGGTTTACTTTAAGAAACTGATACTAAGTACAGAAAGCAAGGAAAAAATTTAGTCAACCTTCTTAAAATTTATGGTTTTTCTAAAACTTACAAAGCAAGTACCTAGTTACTTACTAAATCAAACATATCCACACATAACAGATCAGCTGCATATAAAATATAGGTTTTACTAAGAGTTAGCAATAAAACTAGCAAGTATTACATATGCCACAACCACCAGTAGAACAAATGTGATGAATGGCTGAAAACATAACAGGGAACTGATAAATGACATTAAATGGGGTTAAAAAATGCTCATATTGATTCTTTACAATTTTGAACATATAATTTGTTGAAACTGATATTTTTACAGAAATATACCTAAAAATTGTTAGCCATAAACTATACAGCAATTTCAAAATAAAGTAATAATTTCTAAATTTCTATTTCACCAAAATCTCCACCTTAAACTAATTAATTTTAATTTAATAATTAATTTTAATTTAAATGTCCACTGCATTTTAATTCAGGCACATTTTCAGTTCAGCAAAACCTACATATTTTGCAATTTGACACATTTAAATCACATGATTTACACACTCTTTAAACTCATCACTTTTGGATTTTACATTAATGCATGCAGAAATAAAAATACTAACATGTCCTCCTTGTGCAATACGAATAGCACTTCTTAAACCACTCTGTATTTGACCCATGTGTACAACACCTGTTACACCAACAATTTCCAGCATTCCATCATAATGTGTAGGCTTAGAGAAGCTATCTTCCTTTTCTGGGCCCCAAGGATTAGCACCTGAGCCCCAACTAAAAGGAGGTAAAAACATTTATGCTTTCAATAAATAATAATTATTACATTAAGAACATAGTCATAATAATAAATAATAAAGATTACTCAGACATACCTGAGAATATTAAGAATAATTATTCCTTCTACAGGCGGTAAATCAATAATTTTACCATCCACTTCTAACCGAATTTCTTTGTGCAAATCCTTCCATGTTTTTCGACTCACAATTTTTCTTAACCCCATCTTTACATACACACCTTTATTGTGTAACCTTCAGAAAGACAGATATAATATACAAAATGAAATTAATATAACAGCACATCAAATTCCCATCATAATTTTTTAAAATTTTTCTTAAAGGTATGATTATTCTTTTTAATATTTCATAAAATGCAATTACCATATTGATACATAAGGCATAAAAATGTAAAAAAAAAATTAACTTTTTATCTAAAAAAGAAGAATTTCAAAATTATTACTATTACATAAAAAGCACAACACCTTTGGGAATGCTGAAGAAATAAGTGCCCAGTTAACAAGTTTCTGTTGATATGCACATACAACAGTAGATCAAAAACAAATGAAACAAATACACACTTTTGCAAAAAAAATTGAAGCACCAAGGACTTTTGAAATCGTGATGAAATTTGGTATGCAAAAACATCTTGATCGAGCATGTCTGGGAATGGTAGACTGCCAAATTCGGGCACCACAAAATATTGCATATCTGGAGCGACAACTGATTAATGCCCGACAGAAATGTGTCGCAGGATCACATTAGGAACCTCTACCACTTCTTGCTTCGACGAACTTAAGCATGCATTGCCAACAGGGGTGGTTCGACCAACTACTAATCTGAACACTCAGTGGGTGATTGTGAGCCGCGAACAGGTACTATGACCTTGATTTTTTAATCATTTTATTATCTGCCTACGAGCTATACACATATTCAGTATCATAAAAAACAACCACTTTCTTCATGGTGCTTCAATTTTTTTGCAAAAGAGACAAATTAAATTAGTAACATAATTTATCATTAGAAATAATTCATTATTACTTAGCAAAAAATTAATTCTTTTCCTTAAGGGAGACAAAAAATTTATCAACTTTAGTTAGTTGCTTTTCATCATGCAAAATCAACCGATTATATTGTGCCATACAAATACCTGTAATATACTAATCATTAAAATTATTCAAAATACACTTTCAAGGTGGTTATCAGTAAAAGTAGCCCTAAGGTAGAGAATATGTTACATAGACCAAAAGATAAAGAAAACTGGGAAAAGAAATTATAATAGTCCAAATTCTGACTATCAGATGGTGCTGGTTGAACGGACAATGTTGTAACGTAATGTAATGTTAAAGGACATTATGCAAATTAGGAAGTAAATAAAAAATGAAAAGTAAATGCCAAAAAATCATCCTTCACCATGCTTTTAGAGTAAAATGATTGAGCTTCATTGGTCAAGTTGTTTAATTAAAGCTGCAATGAGAATTGGATATAGTGTGAGAATATCAGTGTTTGAAAAACTTGTCAAAAAGACCAAAGTTGAAGAAGGATTAAAAAAAAAAAAAAAAAAAAAAAAAAAGAGATTATTACTAAATTTAAAGAGACTAGGCAGTTGAGTGTGATGCCACAAAGTGGATAGAAACACATAAAAAAAAAAAAAAACTACTGTTGCTATGGCTGATAAACTGTCCTGTTCCAATACTTTAAATACTCTTAATCTCAAAGCAGAAGACATTGTTTTGGGCCTCTGCTCCCTGATTCACCCACTGACGATTCATAACTTAAAGCTAGGCTTACCATAATATTTTTGCTTAAATAAGACATTTTTTGTTCAAAATGGGATAATTTTGAGAAAATACAACTGCGAATACAACCTACTAGGGTACATACCTATGACTGAAAAATCTAAATAAAGAAGTTATTAATAAAAAAACAGAGAATTAAAAGAAATTTTCAATAACCGAACTGAATGTAGCTTACTATTAAGAAGTTATTATTAGTATTTATATTTTCCTACAAAATTCTTTAAAGCACAGTTCATATTTTACTTTCTCGCCATGATAATAAAATTCTTACAAAAAAGGATAATTCTTTTTTAATTCATCAATAAACACAATTTCTTTGACAGAATTTCAGGAATTAATTTTACATTAAAGTACAAAATAATACATTAAAGTACAAAATAATCACAAATGATAACACAAACTCAACATATAGAATTATGATGTGGCCAGTGGGAAGTTATAGTGTTCCTGTCACTATTTAAAGCAAATAACTATTTAAAAAATTAAATAAAAATAACTGGAATTCATAGACTACATGCTATTATAAATTCCGGGAGAAAATATCTGGATGAATGAATATAAACACCTAAATTTATCAGGTCACATGCCATAATTTTGGTGGAAATCTACATAACATCAAAAATACTGAGATCAAGACAAAATAGTTAGATTGTCAAATGTGAGTGTAACAGAGGGGAAATATGTTTACTTCTTATATATTTGGCACTTTAAAAATTTTACCAAATAACTGGAAGATGACAAATTTGCAGACATAATTACACTGGGACAGTCCAGCTCAAAGCAGGATGTCTATTAAGACTTTTTACAGTAAAATTTATAATGGACTATGGAAAATTAAAGTTTCCATAGTCCATTATAAATATTTCAGATAATTTTGGATGTTATTCAGGGAGATTTGTTTTTCTTAACACAGAAAGGTACAGGAAATAAAAAAATGATAAGGAATAAATATGCTTTTAAGGCTATTTTTCTCTGTTTACCCACCACCAAATGATTAAGAAAACAAAGCTATAATTTTCTCTTACAATGTATTTGAGATCTTGCCTTTTGTGAAGAAAATAGATACTTTTTGTCAATAATCACAAAAAACTACTAAACTGACACAGTTAAAAGAATTATTTATATCTTGTAAAAGAAGCAGAAATTAGCAAGGATTTTCTCCCACTTTAATCATCAAATTTGTTCAGAATATTTTTCATTAATATAAATTTGTCCAGTGTATCGCATAAACTTCTTTATGTAACATTATTCAAATTAAGACTTCAGACATTTACACTAAACATAAACCTGCAGAATTTTCAAAATTTAAACTTTTGTTCACAAATAGTTATGTAGGAACTTGTTTTCTTGGAATATTACAATTTCATAGTGAAAGAGAAATTTTCTGTCATGAATTACATAAACAAAACTGCTAATAACAAACTATACATTAGTAATGGAAGGCAGTGCTGCCAGAGATTTTTTCAACTAAATTCGCAAAAGAGGGCTCACAAAATCGCAAATGACGTCAGAGATAACGTGATTTTGTGACGTCACACTTACGCATGCTCACATGACCTCTGAGATCATCACAAATTTACTGTCTATTGGTTTCGTAAGTTACTGTATTCGATTCTTAGCCTTTTAATTTACGTATCTTAGCTTTCACGAAAATTTTAAATATATTGCTCATTTTCAACTGTTTAAATATCTATTTCATTTTAAATTAATTCTCATTTAATTTAGGTTTCTATTTTTAAATTAACTTGTACATATCCATTCTTAAGAGATTCTTCACGTTTACACTTCCATTTTTAAGAGATTCTTGACGATTTTGTATTAAATTTTTTGAGTTGGCAATAAATTTTTTATTTATTTGCTCAATTGTGAACACTTAAATTGAGGAATGCTTTTTAGTGAGATTTCCGTTTTGCATTGTCAATTTATTTCAGATTCTGGTTACTTACTTATCACTGTTAAATTTATTTGCATTGTTATTTAGAAAAATGCCATTAATTTGATTTTTAAGACATTTCAATTGCTTAGTTCTTAACAATATTATAATCAGGAGAATAAATTTCCTTTCTTTCTCCATTTGGGTACTTAATATATGGTGCGCAAGCTGCAAGTTCTTTTGTTCGATTCGTTATCACCATAGAACTGAGGAGACTGACTGAAAAACGAAACGCATGGGGTAAGGGGGGGGGAGGTGAGAGGTCTTGAAGCAGTTTTTCTCCTTTTTTGTTTTTTCCTATCATTACACCGGTGTCAGGCTGTGCAGCCTTGAAAAGGAAAGCCTACATGTACACAAGATTGCCAGATGCCAACTTCTATTTAAGTCTAAATAAACTTTTTTTTTATAAATTATAGTTTACTTTTGACTGGCACATTATTTTTTACATACAAAATATTTTACGATACATTAAAAAAAATTTGAAGTCACAAAAGTGGCACAAGAAAATGATGGATGTCGCAAAAATCATGAAAAATCGCAAATAAAATTTTAGTAGCACAAGTTTGTCAAAAGTCGCAAATTTGTGAAAAATCGCACGATCTGCAACACTGATGGAGGGGTATCTGCAGTATTTAATACAAATGTATTAACTACAGACATGTTTTGAATTATTGAATCGTGAAGCAATTTTGTACATTCATGTAATGCATTCAATTTATATCCATTTTAATTAATTTGTCAAAAGTTTTTTTTACATAGGGGTGCTATACAGCGAGATTATAGAAGTGGAAAAAAGACTAACAGAAATTAATAATTATCCCTCCCCCCAAAAAAAAATTAGAAAAGGGATATATATATATATAACATTTATTCACGAAATACACAAAAAGAAATAATCATGAAATGTACATCCCTTTGATAATGTGTTTTAAATGAATTTATCAAAAGATAACACACCAGTTTATCAAAAAAATAATAAATTTTTAATACACACTATTACTAAATGTGCTTCCTATGGTAAATCCTTCATTATACTAGTGTTTTCATAAGCATTCAGTTTTCATTTTTTCTTTCCCCACTTTTTTCCTTTTAAAATTTTATCTTTAAATGTCATCACAATTTGTGCGCTTATCAAAAGTGAACTTTAGATAAGCTATATTTTCCATACTGTATATATACAAAAAATATCAAGATAATGAGCATAAAATTATTAATACTTCACTTAAGTATTAGTACCTTTCATATACAAAAATTAAAATATTTCAATTCATCCTTTCATCTAAATCTTTTCAGATACTTTTAGTATCAAACTTAAGAGGTAAAGAGATTTGAAATTCTCCACAAGCTTGGATTCAGATTCAAAAAGAAATCTTACTTATTCAAATACTATACAGTGTGAACCAGAAAGCATCATACAATTTTCCAAACAATTCCTAAAAAAATTAGAATTAATAGAAGAAGAAAATTACGTGCCAGCACAAATATCCAAGACGAGATCAGATTATTCTAGGGGGGGAATCAAT